CTCAGCTATCTTTTCACATATTCATTCATTTTTTAAAGTCACTGGCTTCACTGTTGCTTGATTTAGAAATTTCTATTTTTGTGCGACCTATTTCTTTTTTTCTTTTCTTTTTGTGGGTTTGATTTCCATCCTGGTTTCCTTTCTACAGGTTGTGTATCAACTAATCAGTTTTCATTCTGCTTTATAAGTTGATCTTGTTGGTTTTGTTTTTGTATCTCATGTTTCTTTTTTGCCCCTTGTATATCATCTAATTGGTTTCCATACTTGTCTTTGACTTGATAAGTCATCACGTTAGAGTCAGATGCCACTTCTCTCAAATTTGTAGATAATCCAGCTGGGGTATCCAAAAGATCCAAAGGCAATTTATCTAGTGCAGTCTCTGTAGTTCGATATTTTCCCTTTATTTCCAACTCCTTCTGCTTATCCTGTATTATGCTTAAAGATGTTAAGTTCATTTTCAAAATGTTTTGATAAAATTCTTCCGCTCTTTCAACAGTATTTAGCTGCTATCTTTCTCCTTGATATCTCAGTATAATACCAACTGGGGCGTCCCACCTAAATGGGATATTTCTTTTTTTTAACTCAGTCACCAGAAAACCAAATTTCTTCCTTTCCATTAATATCTGGATCCGTTCCAGTCGGGTTTCAGGCCTGGATACAGCACGGAAACGGCATTGGTCGCGTTGGTTGATGATCTCTGGAGGGCTCGGGACAGGGGCTGCTCCTCTGTCCTGGTCCTGTTAGATCTCTCAGCGGCTTTTGATACCATCGACCATGGTATCATGCTGCACCGGTTGGAAGAGTTGGGGGTGGGAGGCACCGTACTAAGGTGGTTCTCCTCCTTTCTCTCCGACCGGTCGCAGTCTGTGTTGACAGGGGGGCAGAGGTCGACCCCGAGGCCCCTCATATGTGGGGTGCCGCAGGGATCGATCCTCTCGCCCCTTTTGTTCAACATTTATGTAAAGCCGCTGGGCGAGATCATCCATGGTTTTGGGGTGAAGCACCATCAGTACGCGGATGACACCCAGCTGTACATCTCCACCCCGGACCACCCCAACGATGCCCTTGAAGTGATGTCCCAGTGCCTGGAGGCCGTACGGATCTGGATGGGGAGGAACAGGCTCAGGCTCAACCCATCCAAGACCGAGTGGCTGTGGTTTCCGACGTCCCGATATAGTCAGCTAATGCCATCACTGACTATTGGGGGCGAATCATTGGCCCCCACGGATAGGGCTCGCAACTTGGGTGTCCTCCTGGATTCACGGCTGTCGTTAGAAGAGCATGTGACGGCCGTGTCCGGGAGGATTTTTCATCAGGTTTGCCTGATCCGCCAGTTGCGTCCCTATCTAGATCGGGACTCCCTACACACAGTCACTCATGCCCTCGTTACTTCTAGTCTGGATTACTGCAACGCTCTCTACATGGGGCTCCCCTTGAGGTGCACTCGGAGGCTCCAACTGGCGCAGAGTGCGGCCGCGCGGGTGGTGATGGGAGCGACATGGAGTTCCCATGTGACACCTCTCCTGCGCGAGCTGCACTGGCTCCCGGTGGTCTTCCGAGTGCGCTTCAAGGTTCTGGTTATCACCTTCAAAGCGCTCCATGGCTTAGGACCTGGTTATTTACGGGACCGCCTGCTACCACCAATAGCCTCCCACCGGCCAGTACGCTCCCATAGAGAGGGGCTCCTCTGGGTGCCGTCGGCCAAACAATGTCGAGCCTTCTCTGTGGGGGCACCTACGATTTGGAACGAGCTCCCCCCGGAGATACGTAGGATCCCGGATCTGCGCACCTTCCGCCGCGCGCTTAAGACCTTTCTATTTTATCAAGCTGGCCTGGCCTAAATCTTCCCCCTTTTTAAATGTGGAAATTTTAAATTTTTAAATTTTAAATTCGTCTTTTTATAGGGGTATGGGTAAGGCATTTTAAATTGGGGAGCCATTCTAGATTTAATTCTGTTTTAAACGTATTTTAATTGTTTATATTGTATGTTTTTAACTTTGGCTGTTCACCGCCCCGAGTCCTTCGGGGGAGGGGGCGGTATAAAAATCTAATAAATAAATAAATAAATAAATAAATAAATAAATAAATAAATAAATAAATAAATAAATATCTTGGGTGGGAGTTCTTTGTAAATCCAAATCTTTCTTCCATACAATTGCAAATTAGAATTGAAGGAATTTTGCACAATGTTATTCCTAATTTCTTTATCTGTAAAATAAATCACCACATCTCTAGGCAATTGCCTTTGCTTTGCAATCCAGGAGTTTATTCTGTAAACACTGTCAATCCTAGAAAACACTTCCTCAGGTTGAACCATTAAAATCCCAGCTAGAATTTCAGAAGATATTTTCCTCAAATCATCTCTGTTATTTTCCTGCAAACCTCTCAGTCTTATCGCATATTCAGTGAAATTATATTGTACCATTAAAACCTCTCTTTCAATCCTCTGTTGCAGATTTTCTACATTGCCAGTCTTTTGATCAACCTCCATTTTAGGTTTTTCTTCTGAGCTATTATCTTGAATATTTATCAAATCATTTTCAATTTTTTGAATTCTATTGTCCAAATTATCTTGAGTTTCTTCCATTTTAGACTCTAATAACTTAGTATTTGTATCCAACTGTATCATAAATTCTGAGAAGCCATTAGCCATTTTTAAAATTTTTCGCTCCAAAAAATCAAACTTAGATTTCACCAGTTCTTTAATTTCCTGCTTAAATTTTTCAAGATGCTGATTCACAATCTCATCCCTTCTTTCAATCTCCTCTAAAAGAAATTCTATTATGTTAAAATCAGGTTTCTGAGACTGGAGACTTAAAACTTGTTCCTTTAAGTTGTTAGTGGGGGAATCCCCCCCCCACTACTTGTTTGTCTGACTTTATAAGTCTCAGTGCCATGTTTCCGCCCAGGCAAGCTTTGTTAAAAAAAAGAAAAAAGACTTCTTTCCAACCAAAAGCAGTATCAGATCTCCAAGAGAAAAAAGAGAGAAAAAAAACACAGGAGTGACGTTTTGTCTACAATTGTAGCCAATGGTATTTATTCCGCTACATTGTAATCATAGAAAATGGAAGGACTTTCCCTTTCAGCCTCTTCTCAAGCCGCGGCAGACGCCATTTTAAAAGTTTTTTCCTTTCCTTTTTTTCTCTTAATTTTTAAAAAATAAGTAAAATACTTGCGATTCAGTATCACAGGTCCAGCTCACATTTTCTTTAATTGATCTGTTAAATTCGCAGGCTTGCTCTTGTCGCCTGGCTCTGCATATAGCAGAGGTCTCCCAAAGCCCGGAGCAGCGGCTGGGGATATGGGGAATCTCATCCGCTCCGTCCCAAAAGTAAAAAAAAAACTTTTTTTTGGGACTATGCAGAGAGTTCTACCCACCCCAGCCGGCTCTATCTCCGTTTCCTCATGGAAACGGAGTTTTTTCGAGCCGCCATTCTGTTGTGAAGGCGGCTCTAAACAGGCAATGGAAGCTGACGATCCCGAGGGAACATCTGGCGGCGACCAGCAGCAAACCGGAAGTCCCAAGATTTTCCCTAATTTTGAATGTACCAATAACTGTTCATGTTGCTTTTTAATATGTACTTCTTGTAGGCAAATTATATCAAATTTTAATTTCTCTAATTTGTGAAATACCTTTCTTCTTTTAACAGCTGAATTAAGTCCATTTATGTTTATTGAAATCAATTTTCTCTCTTCCATATTCATACTTTATATACAGGCTTTACTGCTCTAGTTGATCTTAATTCACACTGTTCGTTGAGCTCCACAATCCCCCACACTGCACCTTCTGCTTTTTCAATCATTGCTAGTTCCTCTTCTTGAAATTCTACTGGCACTAGTCGTTTGAAATTCCATTTCCATTTCCTTCTTTTTGAAAAATTCTGCATAAAATGCTTTCGCTTTGTCTATTGTATCTATTCTGTATCTTTGGAGTTGCCACGTTAACACTAATCCTTCTGGTATCAGCCATCTATAATTCACACCTTTTTGAAGTAATATTTTGGTCAAAAATTGATATTCTCTCCTCATCTCCCTCACTTTTCTTGGTATTTGCTTCAGAACCACAATTTCTTTCTCCTTATACTTCAATGTTTTTTCTCTTGCAGTCTGCAGTATTTGTGCTTTAATTGATTTCTTACTAAACTTTATATGTACTTCTCGTGATAACTTGTTGCGCATTGCATACCTGGTGTAAACTCGATATATCTCATCCACGCCATCCATCATCTTCTCCTTGGTAATTTCTAGTGCTTCAGCCAAAATTCCTATCATTATTTCTGCCAGATTTTCTCTTCTTCTACATTTTGAAATCTGAGATAACATTCTGATCTGTCCATCTCCCATCCCATTAGTCCACTCCTGACACGCTCAACTTCTCCCAATCTATTATCTATATCTTTAATTTTTTCCTCCCTTTGCTCCTCATTTTTCTCAGCTTTTGCAGTCTCTCTTCATATTTCAGCATCATTTGTTGTATACTCGCCACTTTTTCATCTGTTTTGAATTGTTGTTCCACCCTCTGGACTGTTTGGAGAATCATCTGTAGTGTCGTATCTTTCTCTCTCTCTTTTTCTTTCTCCTTCTCCTGCTTGAAGCATCGTCTGAATTGATCGCTGTCCTCCAGATGGCGACGAAGAGGGTGTAGTTAAAGAGGATCCAACTGCCGTTACCTTTCTACTCATTCTGTCCAGTAGTCACCAAAGGCCAAAAAAAAAAAAGAAAGAAAAAGAAAAAGCCAAAAAAGAAGAGAATGTGAAAAACAGGAGGAAAAAGGGAAAATAAACAATTCTTTAGGTTCTTCAGTACCCTAATCCACTTTGAGAAAGACTTAAATTAATCCCAATGTCAATAAAAATAAACTAAAAGAAAGTTAAATTAAAAAAGAAAGAAAAAGAAAAGCCAAATAGCCAACCAAAGAGAGAAAAAGAAATCAAAAATAAATCTTCAGGCACTTGTACACCTTAATCCAATTCAGTTATATATGAACAAAGAAAGGAAAGTCCATCAGAGATATTTTAATCAGGGGAAGCATACAAAGAGTTATCACTTAACAGGAACAACAACAACAAATAATAGAAAAAGATTTCAATTTCTTCTGCAGTATTTCTGCCCAAACATTAACAAATCTCTCTCATTCTGCCTTAGACTCCTACTTCTGATAGTTTCCCGAAGAGCACCTGAGTAAACAATACAGATAGTTCCAAATCCCTCAGATATGCTTCCAACTACCTTATCAGCAAGAAAATTCAGAGTCCTTGGGTTGTAGCAATAATATAATACAATTGTTTCAACTTGCTACTTAAGTAGAAAAAAAAATAACAAAGTTTCCAGTCCAGTAGATGGCAGTATTTCACACGCCTCTAATATAATCTTTCTTCCCCTCTAATATAATCCAAGAGTTCTTTGTCAATAAAATGAAAAATGAAAATTTAAAACAATCTTCAGAAAGAGAAGGGAAAAAAATTAAATCCCAAAAGGAAAATATTTTAAATAAAAGGCACAAAGGCTTAAAAATGTAAAACTCTCAATTCTAACAGTCCTTTTCAATCCAGTCCCGGTCAAAGACAAAACAAAGATTTATAGTTCCACCAGTGTAAATGGTTTAAAAATAAAAAATCACTCCAGCTTAATTTCGCCGCTTAATTTCCTTTTATCTCCGATTTAATTTCCACTTCAATCTCAGGGTATCCTTTTATATTGATTTAAATTGAAAGTCTCTCACCGCATCGACTCACTGTCGTTCTATTCTTCTTCCGGAGCTGTCCCAAGTTCAGCAGCTACTATGGCTGCCGTCCCGCGGCTAGAAAAAGGGCTTCTCCCGATCAACCAGAGACTTTTCAGTGTCCCTGGGATCGTCAGGATGTGCCCTCCACTATCACAGTCAAAACAAGACTGTGAGGTCCAAAAAGGACCATCCGGTAGCAGGCTTTTCGGCAGCGATCCTGGAGTCCAGGAATCCTCCGACCGTTCTGTCGCGACGTCAGCTCCTCCCCCTATTGTCTGGATTATTTTGGTGCCTCTAACAGAGAGGAAAATTGCTAGAAAGGAGAAGGAATTTACTAGGACAAGGCTGCCATGCAGAGGAAGGCAGAGATAGTCCTTGACTTATGGCCACAATTGAACCCAAAATTTTGGTTGATAAGCAACAGCATTGTTAAGTGAGTTTCATCACATTTTACTCAATCCATGACATCTCCTGGCTCTAACAGTCATGTGCAAGCTAGGGAAGAACATCTGAAGGTGTGTGTAATGTCCTAACATACAGAAGTTATAGTTAAATGTGTGGCAGAAAGTGAACTCTGAGTGTTTTTCCAAATGCAGTAAGTGAGGTTGAATGTGTATAGTTTTAGAAGAGGGGTGTGTGTGTTTGTGTGTACATACACATACAGTATATATAGTAGATAATGTATCTTTTTGTGTGCCTATACACACTCTACACTATGTAATATGTATGTACACATATGGCATATATACATAGGATTAAATAGTATATTTTGGATGTTCAGTTAGTAGTAAATAAATAGACAGGAGATCTCATATCTCGTTGAGGCCTTTGAGGCAAGGAGAGCCCAGGCAAGACGCCCCTTGATGTGAGTAACTTCAAGTTGGCCACGCCCACCCAGTCACATGACCAAGCCATGCCCACCGTCACATGACCACCAAGCCACACCCACAGAACTGGTAGTAAAAAAATTTGAGTCCCACCACGTGTATAAATCCTTTCATTACCCACCATCCAGTCAGAGCTGAAGCAGCTTCTTGGATGAGAAGCGAAATATCTTCAAAGAAAAACCAGAAAGTCCAGTTGTCTCTTGAAAAAGCACCTTTGGAATAACAATTACAATGATTTACTTAACAGCTTAAGTGAAAGGCAAAACTCCCTTAACAAAGATCTTGCTTAGCAGCACAAATTTTGGGTTCAATTGTGCTGATAAGTCAAGGAGTACCTGTATGTATGTCTGGAAGCATAAATTTAGGAGTATGTTTTCTTCTAGAAGCATTTTGCAAAATGTCAGCTACTACTCTTAATTTAAAGAAATAAAAAAGCACGGTATTCAACTGCCCTGAGTCACCTACGTGTGACTTGGACGGCTATATAAATTTGTTTAATAAATAGGTCATTATTATATGCATATATATATATATATATATATATATATATATATATATATATATATACACATATATATACATATATATACACACACACACATATATACACACATATATATACATACATACATATATATATACATACATCATACATACATACATACATACATACATACATATATATATATATACACACATATACATATATACATATATATACACATACCTCTATATATATATGCCCAGTTTTTTTTATGAGCGCCCTCCTCCACGGAGAAGCAATACGAGCAAGGAGAATTCTATACCGTAATATGCGGTATAGGGTTTGGTGGCTTTAAAAGCCAAGATGTGTTAAGCCGATTTTGTTTTGCGCAAGATACGAACGTAAAGCCCCTACACACATTTTACGAAAACCTGTAATTGCAACCTGAGCTCCGCCCCGGGAAGCCTCCCACACTTACCCATAATGCCCCTCTCTCCCTCCTTCTCATCCTCCTCCACCACAGAGATTTTCAGCCTCGGTCCTCCCGCTCGGCCCAGCTACCATAGAGATTACTGAGCACAAGCCCGAGAGTAGACGCTCTGGCTCCTTGAGTCGGAAAAGCTCTACGGTGTTTGGGCTTTGCAGGAAGAGTCCTGAAGGAAATTGGGAACGGCGACTGTAATCGGTATGGAAAGGAGAAGCGGGGCGATAGGAAGAGGGGAAGCGGGAGGAATGAGGTGCTGGGGGATCGTTGTTATGTCGAGGAAAAGCTTTAACCTCCCTTCTTTTTCCATCGAGCTTTTCAAAGCCAGAAAGCTCCAGAAAGTGAGAGGATCCCTTCCCTGTACTTGATTTAAAGCTCGGCATTTCCGCTTCTAAAGGGAGAATGAACCTCCTGGAATAAGCAATAGAAAGTGAAAAGCTTCTTATTCTCCCTTTAAGAACACTTTATCATCTCTGATGTTAGCAGCGGAGAAGCAAAGGTGGAAAGAATCCCCCCCATTGCCCCCCCCCCAAGTTCCCAGACCAGTTCAGGAGTCCCGAGAGGAAACTAACTCCTCTTTTTCTCCTAGAGGATCCTTTTTTGAATGCGATTGTATGATGTATATCTGCCCCTATGTACATTCTGGGGGTGCACAATGTATGCAGCCAGAGTATGTATTTCCTAAATGACTCTAACTCTTCCAAAGGATTTTTTTTGTGGTTGTAAAAACCACAAAACTTTTGTCCCATGACCTGTTGACAACTACTTGCCATCTTGTTGCTAGTTTGTGTCTTAAACATCTTGCTTTGCCAGATGCAGTTTTTCTTTCCTGAAAATATTTGCGTGACCCACAGCATGACATGCTGCAAATGGTATAGGGATCTAGTACCCTTTGAATTTGATACAGCTTTTTAACAGGCTTTATTATGCTAAGCACCTGTTTCCCTAGACATTTCTCAAAAGTACCCTTTTAGAGAGATTGACTGCTGTGTTGAAGGTGGATTATTAAAAAAGAATGATTTGTGCAAGAATAGGATGGAAAATCACAGTATTGCAAGAAGAATTAATTGACTGATGAATGATTGGGAAGTTTTAGGGTGTTGTCAATATTTCTGAAATGACTGGGGCTAACAGTTGAGTAATTTATGTTTATTTACTTTGAATTATTCTCATGTTCTTGCAGGCATGTGCCATGCATTTTGGATTTCTCATAATGTTTGTGTGCTAAATTTCTAATTTATTGATGTGTAGCATATCTTGCCTCTGTATAAGAAGCTAAATCAGGACCTTTAGCACTTTCCTAGATAACTGATCCTGTGTTTCTGGTGATCTTTTTTTCTTTATCACTATATTTTTCAGAAGAGCTTTATATCATGACACAATTATTAATTTGATGAGCTTCCTTATCAGCCTTTTTTTAGTACTGATAGCACTTAGATTTATATACCATTTCACAGTGCTTTATAGTTCTCTTTAAATGGTTTACAGAGTCAGCATGTTGTCCCCAACAATCTGGGTCTTCATTTTACCAACGGAGGAAGAATGGAAGGCTGAGTCAAACCTGAGCGGGTGAGACTCGAACTGTCAAACTGCTGGCAGACAGCAGTCAGCACAATTAGCCTGCAATACTGCATTCTAACCATTGCTCCATCTCTTTAAGCTGGTATTCTCCATGTATTGGAACTACAACTTGGCATTTGTTCAGAATGATTTGGAATTTTGACAGTTGTGTCCCCAACATATGCTGTATGGTTAGAGAAGGCTTTTCTAGGCGAGGAACAAGTATATTTCTCTTTAAAATCTTTGTTTACATATGGAACCTGATGTACATATTAAAGTGATGCTCTTTCCTTCTTCTGTTCCAGGTAATATTATGAACCGTAATGTTTGTTTCTAAAATAAGATTTTTTGAGGGAAAGAATTTATGGACAATTTCTATTTTTATAAGTAATGTCAATTCAGTTTCTTTTAGATAAATATGTGTACCTAGCATTTAGTACAAAAAGTCTTTGGAGTGGACAGAGAACTGGAAAACTACACTATTTTTACAAACCTGAACTTTTTTGGAGGACAAGCTATACTCCTTTTAGAGTGTTACACACAAGCAGCCAATACTATAAATGGACAAGAAGCAAAACAGAGTGGCAGAAGTACCTCTACTTCCATTACTGTTTGGGTTACAGAATTTCTAAATTTAGCACTTCTAAGGAATTGTCCAAAAACAATCGCATGTCACGATTGAAGAACACTTTAGAATCTGTCTCCAAGGCTGTGTCTGGCACTCACAGTGAACTAGTTTCACGGCTAGCTCGTCTAAAACCTCAATCTGCTATACTGAAAAAATCGGTTGAAGCTGATGGGAAGGAGAATGGTTTTTTAATCAGCTCAGAAAAATACAGAGAAGTCCCAAGTGTCTATCAGGAGGATTATGATGATAATTTACATGAAAAAAAGACTGTGTCTGCAGATGGAATCTTAGCGTCAGTCAATACCAGTCAAGGTTCTTTGAAAGATCCCTCAGATATCAAAAATAGTCTTTTTCATGTTAGCAAATTTGCTACAAACTTTGGGGAAACATACAACTTTGTAGCCCATCATATCAACTGGTACTTTAGCACTGTTGGAATGGATCAAGAGAAGAAAGTGAGTGTTCTCCCCCCTAACCCACCCAAACAAGGTGAAGAAACATTCAATTCCTCAGAAGATGACATTTTAAGTGATGAAAACAGGATGAGCGCAGTATCTGCTTTAGTACCTGCCTCACGGTCACCAAATGCTGAAAAAGTCCCTTCTTCAATTCCCAGTAAAAAGGGTATTTCAAGTTTTCTTTCTTATCCTAGTAATAGTGTACAGGCCTTCGTGGATAGTTACATTGGAGGCCTGGTACCAAAATTACGATCTGATACAAAATCTGCTGTGCAGGAAAAGACTAAAGAACAGGAACAAGAGGACATGTTGAAAGATGATAAGGAGGCTAAACGTGCAGAAGAGAAGGAAAAGAGGCTAAATCTTCAAAGAGAAAAGGTACATGTCTTTCCTGTAGATAAGAATTTATAACTCATTAATTGGCAACAATACAAGAACAAGTTTTATCAACAGCAGTAAATTGAAATCCCCCTCCTCATTGTTATTTCAGGGGAAACTCTCAGTGTATAACTGGAGTAGGCAGCCAACGCTGTCCTCTGCTGTTTTAGACTTCAAGTTCAATCAACTTCAGCCAGCATGGTAGATAGCAAGGTAACATTTAGAGGACATGGGGCTACTTATTCTTGGTATATTTAGAGCCATACACCCTCACTCACAGTTACATGACAATATTCATGGTAAAATATATTTTGGCATGAATGTTTACAGTGGTATCTTAAATGAGGACAAACAATTTATTTGAAGTAATTTTGTATTAAATAGAATAGATGGGCACCATCTTAGTCTACAGAAGGTGCTACCCATGTATATGCAAAAAGTTCATTGTTGCACATCACTATCTTGGGAACAGAAGATAATCCATTGTAAATGGATTTATAATAACCAAATACTGTTTATTTCAAGGCAATCTTTAGTAATCATAAATAATTCATTGTTTTGGACTGGGGTAATTCTGTGTTACAGAACTGTTGTAGACTTACTAGAATTATTATGCAATATGAATACAGATTCATGTCCATGAGCGTCCATGTGCACATGCAATACAGAAATACATGTATTGAACACTTTAAGTCTTTATTGAACAATGTGCTACTGAAGACCTAATTTGTTTTTTTTTTAAAAAAAGCTAAACTTATGTTTCCTTTATGATGCCTATATTTTGGTCAATTCTCCCAAAGTCACAGCAAAACTGTAAACTTATTAGTGGCCAGAAATATGATTATTAGATAATCTTTCCTAAACTGATTTTTGTGGACCTGAGAAGAAGAAAAAAAATCTTTGATAAAAATAGTGTCTGACAAAACTAATGATTGTGTTACCAATCAGTTGCCAGTTACCAGGAAAAAAAAAATCAAAAGAGTGCAAAATCCATGGTCTTTTCCCTGTTGTGAACTACAGTTCATATCAATTAGTGTGATTAGTAATGGGAATGCCAAAAGTTATATGAAGTGGTATCTGAACAATTGGTATCTGAACTGTTGTAAATGATTGGCTGCTTAAAGATATATTTATCTCATTTTATATAGCTGCTAATCTTGTGAAAATGACTCTGGTAGGTAACAACAATTAAAACTAGCAAGAACATAAAATAAATATGTAACTAGCAGCTGAGATAAACCAACAGACAATAAACACATTCACTTCACAGGCAAACATCTTTTCTTGAAAGATAAAGTTACAAAAATAATTTGGTTTAAATATGTTTTTGATGTATTTCAGTAACATAACCTTAATATATTTATTTTTAAGCAGTGAAACCAGTCTAAGGTGAAAGCAGTAAGGCTTTATTCACATATTTAATAAGAAGCAAACCATATTAAGCTCAATAGAACCTACATTTCTGAATACATAATCCATTTATTATTATGAAAAGTTTACAAATTAGAATTTCTATCAAGGTGCATAAAATTACTGTTTCACTGATAAAATATTTAAATATATGCTATATATTTGGAGAAGAGAATAAATTATGTGGCCATAGCTTTTTCAAATGGATCAATGCACTTCATTGTTTTGTAAACATTTCCTTGATATTTATAGGGTTTTTTTGTATTGTTTTCAGATTATTGCAAAGGTTAGTGTAGATAATAGAACTCGGGCTTTAACTCAAGCATTGCGAAGATCGTCTACTAGAAGAGTCTGTATCAACAGAGTTGAAGAACTGACATACCATCTGTTGGAATTTCCAGATAGTAGAGGCATCGCCATAAAGGTAATATTTGACTTTAAGGGGGCATGATTGCCCAGCGGTTAAAGATGCTGGGCTTGTCAGCTGGAAAGTTGACAGCCCAGATTCAAGACCCGAGCACCGCACAGTGTTACTTGCCCAGCTCCAACTAGCAGTTCAAAAGCAGGCAAATGCAAGTAGATAAATAGGTACCTCTTTGGTGGGAGTGTGACAGCATTCCATGTGCCTTGGCATTCAGTAATGCTGGCCACAACGCTGATTCCCTCAGCTAAGAAACGGAGATGAATCCCCCTAGAGTCAGACCCAACTGGACAGGGGAAACCTTTATCTTTACTTTATCTGACTTTAAATAGGGAATAGCTCCTAATTGTGACAAAGAGGGAAAAGAGTGAATAGGACATTTTATCCTGTAACTTTTAGATATAATGCTAAATTTGCATACTACTTTATACCTGAATAGGAATCAAGTATTTTAATATTTCGTATAATGGTGGGCAACCTATGAACCTTCAGTTGATTTATTTGGCCTGCTAGCAATCAGTCTCTTCATTACTTGGCAATCTAAAAGGTGAGAAAGGGAAAAGAATCAGAAATAATACTGTGGATCTAATGTTTCATTTTAATAGCCATAGTTTGCCAACCTGCAATTGTCCCCACTCCAGATAAATTGACTTTAAGAAATAAAGTCCTTGACAGATTTCTGACCTCATATCAAAATTGTACCAGTCACTATTTCTAGTTTTTATAATTTTTTAAAGATATAAGACTGTAATATAAAGTGTTCTGAAGATAACTGAATTCATTTCTTTGTGATAGTAGAAACTGGTTAACTATATGTGTAGTTATAGCCACTGTATTCTTTGTAATTCAGTTCTCTTCTTGTACTGATCTGTGATTTAAAACGTTAGCCATAATTACACTTTTGACAGCTGAAAGATTCCAGCAACCTGTTAATAGTATATTTGTTCAGAAATAATCTTGGCTATTTCACCAGTGTTTATTTTCTCACAAATTGCTCAAGAGTTGAATCAAGTGTTAAATGTCCAAGATTATCCTTACTTTCATTTTAATTTTAGGGAAGGTGTGTGGTATAACAGGATTATCAGCAAAAATCTTTATTTTTATTAAAGGAAAATGTCATTCCATGCTTGCTGAAACTTAGGCAGACAAAAGATGAAGCACTACAGGCTGCTGTGAGAGAGGCCTTGGCTGTGATTGGTTATACAGATCCAGTTAAAGGGTGGGGCATTCGAATTCTTTCCATTGATGGTGGAGGAACAAGGTATTTATTTAATTTAAATGCTGTCATATAAACATTTTTCTCTTAGCTCACCAGCAAAACAAATTCCCATAAAAAAATTATGCCTTGAAAGGGATTATGACTAGAGAGAAATGGAGGTTTTGGTGATTTATTTTTACATTTTTATATTGTTATCTTGTCCGTTATCAGGCATGATAAAATACAATATATTTTATCATGCCTGATAGATGTGGGGTAACATTTGGTCGATTTGAGTAAAAAAAAAAAGATTTAACTTTGTTTGCATGTTCAGTCTGGAGGTTACATGGAAATATAGGGCAGAAGGAAATTTAGATGTCATTCATCTGATACTAAATGATACATTGCTGGTATTCTCTTAGTATCTGAGAATAGCATTCAGACTACTCTCAATTTGATTTGCACAAATCTCGGTGATACATTAAATTGAAAAGTTAATAATAATGTGTCTTCAAAGATTTGAATATATATTTCCCAGTACTAATGTAATAAGAAAACAACACTGGTAGTTATCTGAATTAAACTAAACTGAGTTTTTAAATTTATATTTATTCCATTTATTTTCTGTTCTTGAGTTCAAATTGGCTAAAATGATTAAATGAAAGTATAAAAATATTAATTATAATTGATATTAAATTAAACCAAATGTATTTATTAAATGTATATGCTGTCCATCTTCCTTTCCAAAGTGTCACTTGGAGCTTACAATACCATAAAATCATAAATATAGAAACATTAAAATAACAGGACTTGGATAAAAACTATTAAGTTTGATAAATAAAATAGTTTTAAAAACTAATAAATTGGCACTAATGAGAACTCTTTCACAATTATGATAGCCAGCAAATTGTTTTCATAAAACTACAAATGTAACTTCCCCAAATCATTGAGTTGGGTAGTACACATATTCATATTATTAATTTTATTAATAATTCTGATGAAATTTTGGAATATTAACTAGAGGAAATATTTCTCTCTCTCTCTCTCTCTCTCTCTCTCTCTCTCTCTCTCCCTCCCTCTCTCCCTCCCCCCCCTCTCTCTATATATATAGAGAGGGGGGGGAGAGAAAACCGTGTATTGTCCAGATACTTCATTTTAGAGGAAAAAAAAAGTGTGTCTACTAGTAGTAAAACTAATAATATACATAGTGCTTATAACAATTATTATATATATTAACTTATTTGTAGTCATATTAATTATACTAGCATGCTTATAGTCATAATAGTACAAATAATATATACAGATAACAATAATCTTTCTTCCAACTTCTACCTCTTCTATCCAACCACTGATAAAACCAGTCCCATGTTGAATAATTCTCTATCTCCTTTATCTTTTATTTTTAATGTCAATCTATCCATCTCTGTGCAGTCCAATATTTTTCGAATTGTTTTTGTCTGGTGGGGTGTTCTCATTTTTACAATATTGTGCAAATACAATTCTTGCTGCTGTCAATACATGAAGATTAAGTATATAGTCCAGTGTTGAAATCTGGCCGGATATATCCGGCTCGTGTGAACCAGTAGCGCCAGCAGTGCGAGGCTCCGCCCACCCACCTGGACGTCATTACGTCCTGTTTTTGATCCTCTGCGTGTGCTCTCATTCCCGAACCAGTAGCGAAGGTAAGTGCATTTCACCGCTGATATAGTCCCTTTATCATAAATTTCTGGTATTATACCTAACAAAAATATTTCTGGCTTTAAATCTATGTGCTGCTTAATCATCTTTTCCAACCATGTGTGTATTTTCGTCCAGTATTTTCTTGCCTTTATGCATGTTCACCACATATGATAATAGGTACCTAGTGTCTGGTTACATTTCCAACATTTGGCGGACATGTTTATAAACATCTTTGCTAGTCTTGCTGGTGGCAGATGCCACCTATAAAACATTTTGTATAGGTTTTCCTTGTATGCAGTGGCCATTGTCAGTTTGTAATTTCTATCCCAAAGTTTTTGCCATTTATTTAATTCTGTAGCATAACTGAATTTTTTTTGCCCATACTATCATTGTTTCTTTGACTTGCTCATCTTTCATTTTAAAGCTTAATAGGTAACTACACTGCTCAAAAAAATAAAGGGAACACAAAAATAACACATCCTAGATCTGAATGAATGAAATATTCTTAGTAAATACTTTGTTCATTACATAGTTGAATGTGCTGACGACAAAATCACACAAAAATTATCAATGGAAATCAAATTTATCAACCCATGGAGGTCTGGATGTGGAGTTACACTCAAAATTAAAGTGGAAAAAAACACTACAGGCTGATCCAACTTTGATGTAATGTCCTTAAAACAAGTCAAAATGAGGCTCAGTAGTGTGTGTGGCCTCCACGTGCCTTTATGACCTCCCTACAACGCCTGGGAATGCTCCTGATGAGGTGGCGGATGGTCTCCTGAGGGATCTCCTCCCACACCTGGACTAAAGCATCCCTCACCTCCTAGACAGTCTGTGGTGCAACGTGGCGTTGGTGGATGGAGTGAGACATGATGTCCCAGATGTGCTCAATTGGATTCAGGCCTGGGGAACAGGCGGGCCAGTCCATAGCATCAATGCCTTCGTCTTGCAGGAACTGCTGGCACACTCCAGCCACATGAAGTCTAGCATTGTCGTGCATTAGGAGGAACCCAGGGCCAACCGCATCAGCATATGGTCTCACAAGGGGTCTGAGGATCTCATCTCAGTACCTAATGGCAGTTAGGCTACCTCTGGCGAGCACATGGAGGGCTGTGCAGCCACCCCCCCAAAGAAATGCCACCCCACACCATTACTGACCCACTGCCAAACTGGTCATGCTGGAGGATGTTGCAGGCAACAGAACGTTCTCCACGGCATCTCCAGACCCAGTCATGTCTGTCACATGTGCTCAGTGTGAACCTGCTTTCCTCTGTGAAGAGCACAGGGTGAAGTTGCCAATCTTGGTGTTCTCTGGCAAATGCCAAACGTCCTGCACGGTGTTGGGCTGTAAGCACAACCCCACCTGTGGACATTGGGCCCTCATACCACCCTCATGGAGTCTGTTTTTGACCGTTTGAGCAGTCACATGCACATTTGTGGCCCTCTGGAGGTGATTTTGCAGGGCTCTGGCAGTGCTCCTCCTGTCCTTCCTTGCACAAAGGTGGAGGTAGCGGTCCTGATGCTGGGTTGTTGCCCTCCTACGGCTCCTCCACGTCTCCTGATGTACTGGCCTGTCTCCTGGTAGCGACTCCATGCTCTGGACACTACGTTGACAGACACAGCAAATCTTCTTGCCACAGCTCGCATTGATATGCCATCCTGGATGAGCTGCACTACCTGAGCCATTTGTGTGGGTTGTAGACTCCGTCTCATGCTACCACTAGAGTGACAGCACTGCCAGCATTCAAAAGTGACCAAACCATCAGCCAGAAAGCATAGGAACTGAGAAGTGGTCTGTGGTCACCACCTGCAGAACCACTCCTTTATTGGGGATGTCTTGCTAACTGCCTATGCTTTCCACCTGTTGTCTATTCCATTTGCACAACAACATGTGAACTTGATTGTTAATCAGTGTTGATACCTAAGTGGACAGTTTGATTTCACAGAAGTGTGATTGACTTGGAGTTACATTGTATTGTAAAGTGTTCCCTTTATTTTTTTGAGCAGTGTATATAGTTTGCTTATCAATTTTTCCTCTGTCCCTAATAGTATCTGATCAAGTATTGTTGGTTCTTTATAGAAACCCCATATTTTCACATCTTTCTCATATCTCAGCTGTATTTGCAAATGTGGCCACCCTTGGTTCTGTAATTTGTGGCTGGTTTTAAGTTCCCCTTCCTCATTTAAGATATCTTTGTAGGGTAAAATTTTTTCCAAGTTGACAATTTTGGAAATTGTCATTGTAGAAAGCCGAACTGGTATTTTCCTATAGTTTTTTTATTTCACTTTTTCCAATACTAAAAATAAAGCATTCCTTACATAGTGCCTTTGAAAGTATTTATCCTTCCATACCACAAAAAAGCATGCCACCTTAATTAAAGATCATGACCCTCCAGTAGCAATAATCTTCTATGCTTCAAGTTTATCCATTCTTTCACCCATGTAAGTACAAATTCCTGGTAATACAACTCGCAATCTGGTAACCCAAAACCCCCATTACATTTAGACTCCTGTAACATTTTCAGTCTTCCATGCTGATGTCATGGTAGGACAGTTGTGACTAGCGGGGCTCTGCGAAGCCCAGCCAATTTTTGCCTGCCTGGAGGTCCTTCGGGGCCAAAGTCACCCTGTAGGGGTGACGAAGATAGGAAGGCTCTCCATAGATCGCAAGTGGACAGCAGTCCCTTTGCTGCATCCGGAGAAACCTTCCTGACAGGTGGAGGAGAAGACGGTCATAATGACAGGAAGGGACAGGAAGTGAGAGGAGAAATAGAATATAAAGGCCAAGAAAAGTCAACAACAGAAGAAAAGTGTACACAACAAGAAGAAAGCGAACTTGAGAAAAAAGAATGAGCAGAACGAGAAGGAGCAAAAGCAAAGGACCAGAGAGAAATAAGAGCAACTAGGAGAATAAGACCTATATACTGTATAAGTGAAACAATGCAAGAAGAAATAAAGGTGCTGTCAAATAATATAAATGGGTTGAATTCCCCCATGAAAAAAAAATATTCACAAAAGTACAAAGACTAAAATTAGATATAATATCATTACAAGAAGTACATATCAAAAAGCATCATAGTAAAATATTGGAGTATCCTAAATTGGGGAAATTATATTCTTTGTTATCCCAACAAAAGAAAAGAGGGGTGGTGTTATATATTAAACAATAAATGCTAAACAAAATTTTAAAGATGAAGGGAGAATTTTGATGGTTGAAGTGACATTAAATAAAAAACAGATACTTTTAATAACAATATATGCGTTGAATAATGGACAGGAGGAATTCTATAAAAAACTTCACAAGAGGATACTTGAAATAGAGTATGACAATACTTGTTTCATAGGAGACTTTAGTTGCAATAGTTGATACAAAACTTGAT